TGATGATGGTATCGGTATAAGAGATGTTAAGTCGAGAAGGTTGTTGTTTGCAGACGACCTTGTTTTATTAGCATCTTCTGAAACTGTTCTTCAGTGCTGTCTAGAAAGGTTCGCAGCCGTGTGCGACGTGACCGGCATGCGTGTGAACGCATCTAAAACAAAAGGCCTAGTGCTTTCTCGTTCTCCTGGCAGTTGCTCTCTTCAGATTAACGGAGAGACAGTGGAGCAGGTGGAGAAGTTCAAGTACCTCTGAATTGTATTTACTAGTGATGGAAAATTGGAGGAAGAGATCGACCGGCCAATTGGTGTAGCCAGCGGCGTTCTGCGTGAACTAGCCCTACCCATTGTGACTAAAGCAGAGCTCAGTGTGAAAACTAAGCTCTCAATATTCAAGTCAATCTTTATCCCCATACTTACCTACGGTCATGAATCGTGGACCATCACCGAAAAACTTCGAAGCCGGGTACAAGCTGCTGAGATGGGCTTTCTTAGACGAGTCGCTGGCCTTACGCGTCTCGACATTGCCCGGAATAGTGACATCCGGAAAAGCCTTAGAATACAGCCTTTGCTTCTGCAGGTTGAGAAGTCACAGCTGCGATGGCTTGGGCATGTGTTGCGAATGCCTCCGGAAAGGAAGGCTAAGCAACTGTTCCTTGCATATCCGACCGGCAGGGGACGGCCAAGGTTAACCTGGTGCAAATGTATGGAAGGTGTCTCTTCCAGACTCCAGTTGTCTTCTGCCGAAGCTCAGATTCTGGCGCAGGATCGGGAACGTTGGAAGCACTATCTGATGCATGTGTTTCCACGACCCGAAGGGAAAGTGGCTATGGGAGATGCAGATGAAGTAGATTATGCTCACCCGATATCTTAAAATTTTAAGCGAGATGTAGAGCTCATCGGTAAGAAATAACTAACGAGGTAATAGCTATTTTCTTCTTCATCTTCCATGACCGCTTCTCCTCTCTGGTTGCAGAGGCAGACGGGTCAGACAGAGCTTCCAAGGTTCCCGTCCCTGTGCTGTAGTGTGA